AGGTGCATAGCATTCTTCATTATGAGTTCAGGTCTTTTTTACATGAACTGTTGTCTAGCCATGCCATCCACATTCTGCTAAGAGGATGGAGACATACTATCATCTGTTCTCTGGGACCAAGAATGGACACAACAGTAACCCAGAGTTTAGCATCCTCTTGGTATTGTTCTTTTCATTTACGTTATTATAGTTATTATGAATCTTGTTCATCTGGCTCTGTGCATTTTACTCTATATCAGTTCATACACATCTTTTAGACATTTCTCTGAAATTCTCATACTTGGCATTTTGTACAGCACGATAATATTACATTACATTCACATACCACAGTTTATTCAGCCACTCTCCAATTAATGGATAGTCATTTTGTTTCCAGTCATTTGCTACCACAAAAAGTGCTGTGATCAGTATTTTGATATATATTGTTTCCTTTCTGACTTTAACTTCATGGAGAATATTTATCCAGTGGTAGAATTGCTGGTTCTAAGAGCTTTTCCCACTGTACCATACACAGTTGATTTTTTCAACTTAAGTATAAGATTTTGTTTGTCTCCAGTAAATTTCATCTCTTTGTTTCATGGGTTTCTTGGAAGATTGGTCATGTAGCAGGAATAACAGGAACAAAAGATGACAGGCAAATAGAGTTCTACTGGTATCTTCCCAACGTCAGGAAAAATTGAAGATGTTGTTGATCAGTCATTTCAGTCATGTTCAGCTCTTTTTAAGGCTTGTTGTTACTGGATTGGAACCAATTTGTGAATTTGAATCCTAGGCAAAAGAAGTACAAACTTCATTCAGTAGTCAATAGAAAGCCTTTGGAGGACCTTGAGCATTGGAGTGACGTGCTAAATTCTCTGTATAAGGGGTGTCAGGCTTGTACTAATGTGAAGAATGGTTTGGAAGGAGAAGAGAGTAGAGGCAGGAGGCCCTATTACACTATTATTGCAAGACCACCCCTGCCTTCAGGGACCAGGCCATCTTGTTCTAGAGAGAGGACGTTTGTAATGAGGGGCTTTACTGTGTCAGTTGCACTAGGAACATAACAGTAAGGGAAAATCATAAGAACTCACATTTATATATCACTTTAAAGATTGCAAAGTGTTTTCCTTTGTCACGTAGCTGGTAAGCTGAGATCTGAACCCAGACATTAACTCTGCTATCTGTGTCTTCTATAGACAAATTATGAAGGGCTCAGATGTCTGATTCAGATAAGGCTTGATATAGATATAGTAATCATCTTTGCTGAACATGCTGGTATACATGCTACTTGACAGGGCAAGGACCCACATTCTGACATGCTTTTCTTGAACAAGTCTCAACTCACTCCTCTTCCTGGAGGAAGTAAGCACAGGCTTACTCCTCCTATTCTGTACCCATTTGTGAACTCCAAAGCCCTCCACAGTAACATTGTCTCTGCCACTCAAAATCTTCAGCCATAATTCTAATTCTCTTTTGGTAGTCTTCCCCTTACACCAAGCTACCTCTTAGGAGAGGTGATGTAAAAGTAGAATCAACAGGAATTTTTAGTAAATTGGCTAAGTGAGATGAAGACAAGGACAAGTAAAATATGACATCAAAATTTCAAACATAAAGGCTTGGTGAATGTTGATGCCATAATGAAATCAGAAGAATAAGTAAGCAGATTGGGGGGGGGAATAGGTTTTGGACATATTGTTTGGAGATGTATGTGGAAAATGTAGGTAGAGATGTCCTATAGACAACTGGAAATGTGTGTCTGGGACTCCTATCAGGGCTAGAGGCTTCTACATAGAGGTGATAATTAAAGTTGTGAGGGTAATGAGATTGTCAAAGGAGAAAATTTAGATAGAAGAGAAGAGGGATAAGGAAATAATCCCGGGAAATGCCCACCTTAAGAGGTTGCGATGGGGAAGAAGAGGTAGTGAAAAGCAGAGAGGGAGGAGAAGTGGGAGGGTATGATGTATCAGAAACCAAGGGAGGGCAACGCAGAAGCCACTGAACTACTATATGCCACCTATGTGCTGCCTGTTCATATGTTACCATCATTAATTCTGAGCACAGAATACTTAACCATGGATAAAAATGATCTGGTGCAGAAATGCACATTGGCTGAGCAGTCTAAGGGATGTGATGACATAGCGGCTTCATGAAAGCTTTAACTGAGTTATCCAAAGAGAAGAGGAATTTTCTCTCCTGTTATTTACCAAAAAAAAAAAGTAGTAGGTACCCTGAGATCATCTTGGTAGGTGATTTCAAGCACTGAGGTGCCGAGAAAAAGACATCAGATGGTCTGAGATTACAGAGACAAAACTGATAGCAGGTATCTGCAATAATGTCCTGTCTTTATTGGAAAAGTTCTGGACTGCTAATGCTTCACAGAAAATGAAAGGAGACTACTGCCCTTATTTGGTTTAGATTGTTGCTGGTGATGACAATAAAGGAATAGTGGATTTATGATAACAAATATTTCAAGAAGCATTTTAATGAGCAAAAAGAAGATCAACACATTTTATAAGATTGGGTCTGGCTCCAAACTTCTCTTTGCTCTATTTTGCTCTATTATGAAATCCTGAACTCTCAAGAGAGAGTCTACTCCCTTGCAGATAGCTATTGACAAAATAAGAATATTATAAATATTCTAAAGGTTTGGCACAGTACTTTTGGTATATTGTGATTTCATAAGGCCAGTATTAAAACAGCTTCCGCATCTAAGCAAAGAAAACTGTCTACATAGTGGCCTGTTATGGTAGGGGAAGGGGATAATTGGTTATACCATAAGTTTAGTTATTTGGAGTGCTTTAAGGTTGAAGCACTCATGGATGTGGTAGAAACAGATGTCCCATATTGGTATTACATGCCACACTACGTTCATCTTAGGATATATATACCTGTAAGATTACAGTTACAAAAGTGTTCCTTAAGACAGAGTATTGACCTACTCAATTTACTCTGGAGAAGGGCAGAAATGGTTTACATTTCATTATCTGTATAGTTATCCGCTACTTGTTTTCATTTTGGCTATTGTTATTGTTGCTGTTGAGATTGGTTCTCCCTATCTCACTCAGGCTGGAAACTTAAAGGCCACTACTAGGCTCCAGCACAGTAAACCAGGAACTTTGACTTGTTCTGGTTCTGACCTGGGCTGGGTACTTTGTCCTCAGGCAGCCTAGTGGCTCCCACTCATGGTGGCTCACTGCATTAGTGCTAGACTTAATGTGGACATCCAATTGGCTTAGTCCACTGTAGCTCAGAAGTCCTGAGTTCAAGTGATCCACCAGCCTCAGCTTCTCTGGTAGCAGGAATTACAGGCATGTGCCACCATGGCTAGCCATTTTTATCATTTTTTTTTAGGCAATTGGGGTTAAGTGACTTGCCCAGGGTCACACAGCTAGTAAGCGTCAAGTGTTTGGTCCAAGGTCAGATTTGAACTCAGGTCCTCCTGACTTCAGGGCTGGTGCTCTATCCGCTGCGCCACCTAGCTGCCCCCATTTTTATCATTTTTGATATATTAATTTTCTTTGTGTTAAAATGATTTAGGTGATCTAAGAACAAATGTACAAATAAAGACATAGTAAAAATGAATTGCTTAACGTTCATAAAGTTACTGTATGTCAAGCACATTAACAAAACAAACATGTATTTAAATTATTAAGGTTTTTCTTTTTTACTTTTGTGATTTTTTTTTGGATACTTGCCTGATATGATGTAAAAACAGTTAACAGGGACATAACTTAAGATGATGGTTAGCACTGTTTAATGTCTTATGAAATTTTCATGAACAATCCAAGCATAATTGTTTGAACATTTGTTTTAAGTTGATGTGAGTGGAATGAAAGTGTCATGAGTGGAAAAAACAACATCCAGAAGGCAAGGGAGGAGAGGGTATTCAGAAAGAGAGGGCGGTTGCCAGTGTGAAACATTACAAAGAGATTACAGAGGATGGGAACTGGAAAAAAGCCTACTGGTGTTGATGATTAGGAGGTCATTGGTGACCTCTGAAAGAGCAGTTTTAGCAGGAGAGCAAAGATGGAAGCCCAGTTGCCAGGAATTAAGAAAAGAGTGAGTGGTAGGGAAGTAGAGGCATCAGATATGGTAACTTTTTCTTTCTTTTTTCTTTTTTTAAAAATTAATTTATTTTTAGTTTTCAACATTCACTTCCATAAGCTTTTGAGTTTTAAATTTTCTCCCTCTCCCTCTCCTCCCCCCTCCTCAAGACCATGCACAATCTGATATAGGCTCTACATAGACATTCCTATTAAATATATTTTCACATTAGTCATGTTGTAAAGAAGAATTAGAGCCAATAAGAGGAACCACAAGAAAGCAGAAACAAAACAAAACAGAAGAAAAAAAAAGAGCAAATGGTATGCTTAGATCTGCGTTCAAACTCCATAGTTCTTTCTCTGGATGTGGATAGCATTTTCCATCATGAGACTTTTGGAGATGTCTCAGATTATGGTAACTTTTTCAAGAAATTTGGCAGTGATAATAAGTTGAAATATGAAATGAAATAGAATGGTGAAGGGAAGGATTTCCATTTTTTAAAAAATTTTTTAGGATTAGGTGACATTAAAATGTTTGTAGGCAGATGGAAAAACCAGTGGAGATCAAAAGACAAGGGAGTGATATTGGTACCTTGCCTTAGCAAGGAACATAGAGATTCTGTTTCCTTTAAGCAAAAGGGAATGAGGAAAGAATGGGCGATGTTGAGTTTCGAGGAGTTGAGGAGTGGAATTGAGGGAGTTCCTTTTGAATGACCTTAATTCTGTCAGTAAAATAAGAACCTCAGTCATCTGCTATAAATATTGGAGTGTTATTAGGGTCTTTGGAAGAGAGAAAAAGATTTAGAATAGTTACTGTGTAGAATAGAATAGGAAATAAGAATTATATGGAAGGATTTTTTTTTTGGCAGAAGTGAGGCCCACCATAAAATTGAGATTTTCCGCCATAAAATTAATTGCTTGTTTTTTTTTTGTTTGTTTTCTGTTTGTTTGTTTGTTTGTTTGTTTGTTTTTTTTCAGAATCAGTCATTATTCAGGCCTGCTTGTCCTGGAGGCTTGAGACCTCAGGTAACCTTTGACTCATAGATTGATCATGGCAATTAATCTTTTTCTGCTTTTATCTTGTCTTTTAATGAATCTTACTACCCTGAATAAAAATTCCTGCCACATTTTCAATCAGCCTTCATTCCTGAGCCTTTGGTTGGGAGTTTCTGACTTGTCAAAGCTGTCAGGCTAGATGGTAAGGTAGTCAGTCAAGAGTGCCAAACCTGTAGAAACTTGTCTTAAAATGCTAGTAATTTAACAATTGATTTCTTTCCTCCATCAGAGGGACTGACTGATCAAGGGTAGCTCCTGTTATTTTCCCTATAACAAAACCCACTGGTGCCTTTATCTGATGAGTTTTGCTTTTAAATTCTAGCTCAACCTGCCTAAGCAATGAAAACATGTTTTCTTTGCTGCCGAAATATGGGCATGTTTATCATGTGGGCTCAGGTAAGGGTGTTGTGAAGCCATCCTGGGTGGTCCCACAGATGCCGCTCTCTAGTTCTCCTTGATCCCCTTCAGGATCCATTCTAGTATTCACTCACTTCCCTAAACAGCTTATAAAGAGCTCAGATGCCTGATTCAGATAAGGCAGATTTGGTATATATCTTTGCTTTCCGTGCTCGTGTATGTTCTTCATGGGAAGAATTTCGGACACAGAATTCTACATATTCTCGCTCTCACTCACATTGCAACTCACTCTTCTTCCCCTATCCTCATACACAGACTCACTATTATTGCATCCATTTATGAATTCCTGTGTCCGCAGCACAAACACTACCTCAGCCTCACTCTACCACAGTGCTACATGTCTAAAGTGATTCAACTGAGGTCTTGTTGTGGCCAACATGAGTAAGGCAATTTTGTCATGATATGACCTTAGCTGTCATTCAAATTGGGAAGCCACCCTCTAAGTCTTTGAATGAATTGGACTAACCTCTCTGTAGTTACCGGAGGAGAAGGAATAATTTCTATAATGCTGGTGGAAAACCCCTATCTAAGACCTTCTAGTGTCAGGGTACTTAATCAGATATGTAGCCATCTGTTGGTTCTGAGCTACAAATAAATCACAGACACTCTCTTGTAGCATAGCTGACTCTGATTCCAATGTAGCACATCAACGTAGCATACCAAGCATATCCATACAAGGGAAACGGGAGAAACAGTTGCTCCACTGGCTGCCTTCCCAGGAGTTAGTGTACGTGAAGCAGCAACAGTGCAAACAGGAGATAACAACTACCCGGCGTGACCATTACAGTCATGTCTTGACTGCTGTTCACCCAAAGTCTTTCTTTTTCCAGCTACTGGATCAGAAAGTGCTTGAGAATAACAGGATTCCAGGTCTAATCTCCAAATAGGTTTGCAAATGTAAGTACACGTCCCCTTTAAGCATTCTACTGGAATGGCACTTCCCTCTGTCCTGCAGGACTCAACTACTCCTTTCTAATGACATTTTAATCTCCCAGTGCTTGGGAGTATTGAGTGCTGCTTGCCCCCTCAGCCTTGGCCTCAGCCCATGGATTACACAAGTTAATGATAGAATCAGGACTGGAAACTAGGTCCCTAGGCCAGTGCTTTTCACTGTCCCCTACTGCCTCTGACTGTGTGCTCTGACTGTCTGCAGGCAGGGAGAAGGACAGAGAGCAGCTCTGAGTCTAGGGAAAGATTTCACAGCTGGAATTTTTCAATTTCATTTACCTCCCTTCTCTTCTATTTGTGGCAATCCCATCAGAACAATTCATCTAAGTTCTCAAACTACTATAATAAAACAGTATGGGCATACCCTCCAAGTGCATACTCCCTTTCGTAGTAATGTCTTTGATATGTTACATGTAAATTATTATAAAATTTATATAAGTAATACATTTAATATGAAAATACATTTAATATAGAAAAAATTAGAAATAAATATAGTATAAAATTTTATAAGTTTATATATATATACATATATAATATCTTTGATATATTATAAATGAACCCCACCATAGCATTGTAAAGCCCTGATGTTGTTTTGGCAATATCCAAAGATTTGTTGATAGGTACTGCTGCCAATCATACTTATCAACATGCAGAGACATTTAAAAACTAGGTTTATTATACACTCAAAGCAAAGGCTTAGAGTTTCCAAATTACCTCTGGGCAATAGATAAAGCTTTTTCTAAGGCTTCTATGGTTTCCAGTTATATCAGAGAAAAAAAACATGTGTATAAATTTTATGTATGTATGTATGTATACATATTTATACATACATATATATGTGTGTATCTATATATAAATAAAATTAGGATTACATTTGCAAAAAAGAAAAAAAAAGGAAAGATAAAGATTTACACTCCAAAGATAAATTGGTAAAATTTGTGCTAGGCTAATGGAGAAGAAGGAAGTTTGCTTGCCAAAAGGTACCTGAAGAAGAAAAATCACATCAGATCTAGTTGTAAAATAAGACAATAACCACTGATAGGAGTAGTCTAGGACTTATAACCACCAGGTGACTATTGTGAAAATTCTTATACTGTGATTTGTTTCTTTTCTCCATTGAAATAATTGGGAGTCTCAGCTAATCTAGCACACTATAAGAAAAGCCTCAACCATTTATATGATTTTCATTACAAATAGAAATGGTCATGCTAGACCAAAATTTAAAAAAAGAATAAAAAACTCATGACAATTTCATGATGGTCTGATTTATAACATTTTCCCCATGTGATTAACTGCCTTCTATAATCCTATTTCACCTAACACATTATTTTCCATTGATGATTTTAGGTTAGGTATTCTAGGGCTCAAAAAGATTCAGGAACTTAGAGGATGAAAGGGGAAGAGTGTTGAGTATATCTCATCTTCTTCCTTCCATTACAGGATTTAGAATTTTTTTTTTTCCATTTGCTAATTCATTACAGAGAGGTGGGGTCCATTTTCATCTTCAATTCCTTCAGCAGTGGAAATGTCAATATAATAGCAAACATTAATTAAATACCTTTGTTCCATTGTTTCAGTTATGTCCAACTCTTATTTGGGATTTTCTTGACGAAGGTACCGGAGGGGTTTGCCATTTCTTTCTCCAGCTCATTTTATAGATGAGGAAACTGAGGCAAATAGGGTTAAGTTAAGCCCAGGGTCACACAGCTAGTGTCTGAGATCAGATTTGAACTCAGGAAGAGGAGTCTTCCTGATCCCAGGCCCAGCACTCTATCCACTGAATCACCTAGCTGCCCAATTAAATGCCTGTTATGTGCAAAGAACTTGTTACATGCCAAGGATGTGAACATGAAAAATGACATAGTCCTCTGTCCTCAAGGATCTTACAATATAGTGGTGTATATGGAGGGGGGCAGGATAAGGGTTATACAAATAGATATATCTTACAAAATTACTAAGTACATAGGAGTTGGCAGCCAGGTGGCTCAGTGGATAAAGTAACAGGCCTGGAATCAGGAAGACCTGAGTTCAAATGTGGCCTCAGACACTAGCTGTGTGACCCTGAACCAGTCACATAACTCTGCCTCAGTTTCCTCATCTATAAAATGAGTTATAGAAGAAAATGGTAAACCATTCCAGTATCTTTGCCAAGAAAACCCCAAATGGAGTCATGAAGAGTTAGACGTGACTGAGCAGCAACAGTTACTACATAGAAGAGGCCAAAGTAACTGGAGAAATTTAAGGAGGAAGGAATCATTTCCTAGTTGAAGTGAGAGGAACAGTGACAGTAGCATGACTGAGAAGGCACTTGGGCTAGACCTTCAAGGTAGAATATCAATATGCCATGATGAGAGACATGGGAAGCTGTTCCCATTCTTAGCATGGAGAGGGCCTGTGCCAAGGTAAGGAGACAGGAAAAGGCAGGATGAGATCATGTAACAGTGAATTATCCAGTTTGGCTAGAGTATAGAATTAATGAAGAATACTATAAAATAAGGCTAGAAAGATATGTTGCAGGTAGAATGCAGAGGGAGGCCCTAGAATGCCAGGCTAACCTTGCATTTTATTTGTAGTCAGTGGAGAACTGCTGTTGGTTCTTGAACAGGCAAATGATAAGGTAAGACTTGGGGAACACCGCCTGGGTAGTGTTGTGAAGGATGGATTAGAAAAGGCAGTGAGTAGAGGCAAGGGACAGGTGAGAGAGGTTGAAGTTTTGAATTAGGAATAATGGAAGTGGGAATGGATGAGTGAGAGAAATTTTGGAAGTAGAATAGTCAAGATGGTGACTGATCGGATGCAGAAGGTGAACAGAGTGGGAAATATCAGGAATGACTGATATTTTGAACCTGTATTACTGGGATCAACATAAACAGAAATGGGAAAGTTAAGAGGACAAAAAGATTTAGGAAAGAAATTGATGAGTTTAGCTTTGGAGATGTTGAGTTTGAGGTGTTGACAAGACATTTAGATGGAAATGTACATCAGGCAGTTGGAAATGCAAGATTGGAGCTCAGTGGGAAGCTGGGAGCAGAGATATAGATTTTTTTTTTTTTTGCTTTTTGGTGAGGCAATCAGGGTTAAGTGACTTGCCCAGGGTCACACACAGAGATATAGATTTTAAAGTTATTTGAATAGATGTGATAATTAAGGCCACGGAAGTAGATGAGATTATGTAGGGAGCAGAGACAAGAGCCAAAGACAGAGATTTGAGGTATACTCACACTTAACAAGTGCAAAAAGGAAGCAGTACCACTGGAGATTGATGATTGGTCAGAGATTTAGGAGGACAGTCAGGAGAGAGCAATATCATTGAAGCCAAGGTACAGAAAATATCAAAAAGGAAGGGTGGCCAACGATGTCCAATGCTTTAGAAAGGTTAAGGAAGATGAGGACTGAAAAGATGCCATTATATTTGGCAGGTAAGAGATCATGGGTGACCTTAGAAAAAGGGAGAGTGGAATTAACAGAAGTCAGATTGCTGGGATTAAGGAGTATGTGGGTGGTACAGAAGAGGAGATAGGTATAAAATACCCTTTTTAGAATCTTAGTAGTAAATAGGGGAACCGAGATAGGATGATAATTTAAAGAAATATGAGGGATAAGGGAAGGGATTTTGGGGGGTTTGTGGGGAACATAGAGGAAACCTAAGTATGTTTGTAGATCAAAGGAGGCAGTAGAGAGGTAGAGACTGAAGATGATAGCGAGTGATCATCAGTGCCTGGCATATAGGAGCTTAATAAATACTTATTGATTATTGATTGATTGATTGCTAGAGCAAGATCCTGGAGGAGAGAGGAGAGGATAGGCTGAAGGGCTGAAGTAGAGAGGTTGGCAAAAAGCAGGGTCACCTTTTCTGAGTCTGAGGCTAGAGGGAAGGTGAAGATATTGGGTGAAGGTATAGGGAAGTTTTGAGGAAAGATGGATGAACGATGAAGGAACTTGTGATATATGGCTTTGATGTCCATAATAAGCTAGGAAGATAAATAATCTACTGCAAGAGGGATGAGGGTGGCTTTGGGGACATCAGGTATAAGGTACAAGGAGTAGGATAGAGAAATGAAATGAATAGAGTTATTATAGCAGTTCCATAGAGATGGCACTATTGAGGTAAGATAATGTGAATTTATCATGGTAGTGCTAGACACACAGAAAGCTAAACAAAGATTTCCCCAAGAAGTGAATTCATACATGAATAAAAGAAATGTAATTTTTGGTACAGTTTATCATTCCTGCTTGACAAAATTCTGTTAAAATATGGAAGTCCTGTGGCCTGCATTATGTTGAAACTTCACTTAAAATAATAATTCACTTTTAAGTTGTATATTTAATCAATCAACAAGTATTTATTAAATGCCTTCTATATGTTAGGGCAGAGGCAACAAGTACATATGAAAATATGTGCAGCATGAATAAAATTTCATTTACTTTCCTCATAAGAGCTCTGGAGGGAGGAAGTACAAGTATTGCTAATACTCCTGTTTTACAGATGAGGAAACTGAGGGTCTGAGAGGATGTAAAGTAATTTGACATTGTTATAGGGAAAAGATTTCCTTTTGAGTTCATGTGATAGGTAGCTGCTGCTGAAAAACTCTAATACAATGCAGAAATTCCAGAGGTTAAAAAATAGGTTTTTATTATGCTTCAGCATAGGTTCAGGATTCAGAAAAATAACCCTAAACCAAGATTGAGGTTTCTGACAAAACTTTTATAGAGAAAAAAATTATCAGAAAAGACAGAAAAATAAAATTTAACATATAGCAGGCTTATAACCTCTTAGCATTCTTAGCCAAAAAGACTTGGTTACTTGTTAAAAGTCGTTTTCAAGAGTTTCCAATGGACACAAATGGGAAGCGGAGCCAAGATGGCGGAGGGAAAGCAGTGACTTTCTTGAGCTCTCCCCCAAACCCCTCCAAATACCTGTAAAAAATGGCTCTAAACAAATTCTAAAGCAGCAGAGCCCACAAAAAGACACTAAAACAAATTTCCAGCCCAAGACAACCTGGATGGTTGATCAGAAAGGTATATTGCGCTGGGTGGGAGAGGAATGCAGTTTGGCATGGGCACGCAGGCCTCAGTGAACCTGGAGCAGGCCTCAGAGGACTGAATCACATGTAGCTATGATAGTTTCCAGTCTTCTCAACCCATGAACACCAAAGACAACCTAGAAGGTCAGTAAGAAAAGTCTGTGTCTGTGGTGAGAGAGAAGCACGGTCCCGAGCACAGCTCAGGTGCTGCCTCCTGAGCTTCTGGCCCACAGACTGAGGGGGAATCTTGTAGCTGATCAGAGGGGGATTGCAGGGATCTCTTTGCTGGTTCAGGATTCTCTTGCTTTGCCTGTACTTGGATCTGGGTCACAGTTCTGTGTGGTGGTCCTGGGGCGAGGAGGAGTGCTGGCATGGTAGAATTTGTAGTGGCAGTAGAGAAGAAATCCTCCTCATGGTTCCAAGACAGAAAAGAAAGCTTATGGTCACTCATAGATTAGAGCACAGGCCAGGATCAGAGTAAACACCTTGCCCTTGATCATTGCATCTTGGAAGAACTAAAAATTTACAGGTCCCTGGAAGTATCTCTGAAAACAGCTGCACAAAACCACCAAAGCTTGTGACAGTACATATTCCACACTGGAAGCAGACCCCTACCTTAACAAAGAGTTTATAACTCAAGTAATTGGCTGCAATTATGAGTAAGTAGTGCAAAAAGGGTCAGACCATAGAATTTGACTTTGGTGACAAAGAAGATCAAAACATACAACCAGAAGAAGACAACAAAGTCAAAACTCCTACATCCAAAACCTCCAAGAAAAATATGAATCGGTCCCAGGCCATGGAAGAGCTCAAAAAGGATTTTGAGAAGCAAGTAAGAGAAGTACAGGAAAAACTGAGAGTGATGCAAGAAAATCATGAAAAACAGGTCAACAACTTGCTAAAGGAGACCTCAAAAAATACTGAAGAAAATAACACCTTAAAAAATAGCCTAACCCAAATGGCAAAAGAGGTCCACAGTTTCCAATAGGTTAATTGAGAGGGGAGTTTTACACATCATAATGATAATCATAGGATCAGAGCCAGGGGGATCCTTCCTCAAATAAAGTTAGTAAAATCCCCTTGAGAGAGTTTAATTAAAAATGTGCAGATGCTATATTCACTTTTTCCTCTTTTGGTTTATTATTTCAGGAATGTCAAAAAGCTTCTCTTAATACTATTGGTTCATGAATTAGGTTTTAGCCAGGAGAGGTTAATATTAATAGGAGATAGGTGTCAGCCAAATATTTAGGAGAAATACCCCTGAACCCCAAATAATAAAAATTAATAAAAGGAAATAAAATTTCTCATAACAGCATAGTTACACAGATGTTAATTGTTGAGACAGGATTTGAACTTGAGTTTTCAAACTGTAAACTCAGCTCTCTTTCTCTTTCTCTCTGTCTCTGTTTTTTTCTCTTTCTCTCTGCATGTGCTTTTGGACTTCACCTCCCTCACCTTAAACCTCATGTTACATATTTCTTTAATCCTTGTTATTTTCTTGACTGTTCATAAAGATTGAGTTATCATAGTTATTAACATTTATTAAGCTCTTTCCAGGGTCATCTATTCGCTGACTATATTTTTCTTTTCCTTTTCTACTTGGTCATTTGGAGGAAAAAAAAGAGGAGGCTGCATAGTTTCCCTTTTTTTGAGGGGGTGGGCAGTATCAGAAATTCCCCTAAGTCTACTTACAAAAGCTTTCTGTAACAACCGGGTTCAGGAATGCCTACTGAAAATATTAGTTACTTTTAAAAATTGCTTATTTCAGAATTCAGATTCCTGTAATATTAGAAAATGAAACTTAAAATGAGATAATTGTTTAAAGTTACAATAATGTATTCCACCTTCTACTTTAAATTGATAATCACTGTGGTACCCTGGGGGGTGGCCTTCTAAAAGCAAAGTGCTGGTTTCCCAGAAAGTTCCAGAGGAGCTTTCCCAGGGGAAATTTGTATCTTGCTTAAAAGTGGATAAATTAAAACTCAAAAATCCTTTCTTGGACTTGACTTGTGCTAGAGGACAGAGAGTGAATAAGGAAGGTAATTCCTCATCTGTAGTCACCGGAGGGACACTGCTTCAGGTTAGTGCTTCATCTAAATCCTAAATAATTCAATTGATTCCATGGGTCAAATAATTACTAATTATATCTTTTGTTGAGTTGCTGGAGGATCATTCAGAGACAAAAAAGGGTTAACTTAAGAATTGTAGAATTTTATCAGCCACATTTCTACATGGCCAAATTTTCCATTTGCCATCTGTTAGAAATGTAATTTTGAATCATTCAGGAGTTGGCCGAGAAGAGGTCTCTGAGATTCTGGGACTGCTCAGTTGGGTCTATCAAGAGCAGCAGGAGCTGATGAAGTGGCTGATTTCTTCTTGTTAAGGGAAGTGGTTTGAAGTAAGACATCTGGATGCTATGTGATATTAATAAAGATTGCTCCTATTTCTCTGTGTACTTGGAGGTTTGACAAGTCTCTGATAGACATGTCTGTGAGGTAGGTGTAAATATTATTATTCCCTTTCTGAAGGTGAGAAACATGAGAGATAAAGGAACTTGTCCAGGGTTTAGTGAGTGCTTGAGTCCATATTTGAACCCATTTCTCTTGACTCTAAGACTCATGTTCTTCTTAAAAACATGGTGTAGTGGACAGTACATTGGACCTGGAGTAAAACAAAATAAACAAACAAACAAACAAACCAACCGGATTTAGAAGCCTGCCTCTGATGCTTATGATTTGTGAGAATCTTAGGTGAGTCTTTGAGACTAAATTTCTCCATCTGTAAAACAAATGGATTGGATTAGGCCTCCAGAGGCCCTTCAGCTTTATAACTCTGTATCTCTGACCCTGTGATCTGGGATAGGGGGCATTAGACATGCCAGATTTAAGAAGAGAGGAGTAATATCTTTTGGAGGTATAGCTGCTGACTTTAGATGAGAGGACTCAGAGAGGCCACTCAGACCTTTAAAAAACAAACAAACAAACAAAACAACTGGTGATGATCCACCTGCTTGTGTTGCCAGTAAATTCAGACTTTTCTCTGGCAATTCCCTGAGTGCTTTGAAAACATTCAGTTTTTCTGACATTGTTTTATATTGTTGTTGTTCATTCATGTCTAATGCTATGTGACCCCATTTGGAGTTTTCTTGGCAGATACTGGAATGGTTTGCCATTTCCTTCTCCAGCTCATTTTACAGATGAGGAAACTGAGGCAAACAGGGGTAAGTGACTTGCCTACGTATGAGTCTTCATAACTCCGGGCCTGGCACTCTATTCATTGCTCTGCTTTGTTTTATATAGAGCTATGTTTTTTAGCTTTTCTAGCTCTTAAGGCTACAGTTTGTGAAATGTTTTGATCCATGGTTTGAGACTTGTTGCTGTTGAGACCAAAGTTCAAATTCTATTGGTAAAGCAGCCAAATGAGGACCAAGAGCTTCCTAATTGAACAGACAATGAAATTATAAACCACAAGAGTATTGTCCTGTGATGGTGGAAAGGACACTGGATTTGGGATCAAAAGACCAGTCCTGCCACTACCTACATAATTTTAGGCAAATGTCTTAATCCCTCAGGGCCTCCATTTCTTTATCCATAAAAAGAAGGGGTTGGACTAGATCTCCCTTAAAGCCACTTCCAGCTTTACACCTCCAGGTATTTTACTTCAGAAAAAGCTGAGGGCCTGGGGAATTTATGTCTGGAATGCTCCTGGGACTGATTTCTCCATTTTAACCTTATTCATTATTTATTTATTTATTTAATTTTACTTAAAAAAATTTTTTTTTCAAAAAGTTGGGACAATTTGCTTTTTGTTGCATGCAGTTTTCATTTATGATTTCTTGAAGCATAGCTCTTGGGGCAGCCATGGTGCCATAGTGCACAGAGCACTGGGCCTGGAGCAGAAAGACTCATATGGGGTCATTGAGATCTCATAGGACTTGACTGAAACAACGCAGCAACAAAGCTGTGAAAAAACAAGCTTTGAAAAAGCACATTGTGTTTCAGATGGAGCTACTATGCCTTTAAACCCAAATCACTCTGGCTTTTATTGAATGGCTAATAAAAGCTCCCAGTCTGATCTTTGGTGGCTCATTCTTTAGATTTTCATGGCTTAGAATGAGTGTGAATAGCAATTGTTTTCTGTTCTGGCCAGAAAGTTGCAGGGTTTCCCCCTCTCAGACTAATATTTTTGTGTTGGTAAATTAGGCCATCTTTTGTCACTGAATGGGTGTTGCCTCAGACAAACTGAGATTTGGGAAAGACCTTCATTTAGAAAGGCCAAGGTCACCCACTGCATCCAGGGGCCATTGCCAGTCTTTTATGTGAACCCCCAACCCCATGAACCCCAATCTGAAACAGTCTTTTCTAAGAAAGAGACAAATGAAATTGGGGTACGTGTGTGCACATTTTAATTTCTCAAAGTGACTTGACATGCATTGCATGGGAATTCAGTCCAAAACTGCCCCCCCCAAGGGGGCCAGTTCAGAACTGGTTCCATTTGGGATTTTGGGATATAGTGTTACATGCGCTTTGAAGAGTAGGTGTTCCGAAGGGGGTGCCAATCAACTGTGATTGGTCAACATGGTGGGTGATATTAAGATGAAGTCTTGAGTACCTGTTCTATGTCACAGCCCACAGGGGCCATCAAAGGAAATATCACCCTCAATCTTGGAAGTCTGCCTCCACCCAAACCTTAGTAGATAAAATCAATTCAGGCCTGGGTTGGAGTTTGACCAAGATAAGAAGATTCAATGCAATGTCATTATCAGAGATGTCCTTCTGAAGAATTTTGAAGCAGAAAGCTGGCAGGGTGGAGCTCTGAGTCTCCAGGACAGATTACCAAGGGAAATAATTTTTAACATTCCCCAATCTGATTCTAATGAGAGGCGTAGCTTTCTCAATGAATCACTAACTGATATGGTCAACATTTCATCAAAGGGTCTTGGGGACTTATAACAATATGGGAGAAGGGAAGGAGAAATTGATTGACGCATTGACAAATCAAAGGGGGCAGTCCCCTCAGTAAGTACAGATACAGAGAACCAAAGGGAAAAAGTAACAATAAATAGTCCATTTAAGGCTTCAGAAGTCTCCTGTCATACAGCTGTCTGGTGTTCAGGACATCATCCAATGAAGTTTTCTGGTCTGAGTGCTGTTCAGGCAGTGTCCAGCAGACTGTTGTCTTATAGAGATCCTTTTTCTTCTGTCCATTCTCCTACAAGATTGATCTTAACACAATTTTAAATTACCTTGCCAATAACCAGGTCAAATAGTGAAAGTTAACTGAACCCTTATGTCTCTATTATTATAAGATCAAAACTGGAACCTTGGCCAATTGTCACGTTTAAGAAACTGAAATTAGAAAAATAGTAACAGGAAAATTAGAACCCAGCTTTTACACTTTGCATTAATTCTAGTATTATACCTTGAATTATTTGCAGTTTTTATATTTTGCATTAATACTATTATTTATTCCCCCATCAGGAGGATGAAATTCTACTAAGGAATTAATATCAGACTCCAATACATACATAAATACATTGAGTAATCAATTTAAAAACAATACCTATCAAGGAATAAAACAAGTCCAACTTCTGGTCATGTACAAATAAGTAACCCTTAATTAAAATGGATGCTTCTTCAAGTCATTTACAAGATAGACCATAAGCCATTCTTCTTTTAACGTTAACTAATTGTAACAAGCTGAGACAACTTTGATATTAACTAAGTAACAGAATAATATCCTGGTTTCACAAGCCCTCAGCCTAATTATCCCCGTACCATTATGAGGAATTAAAGGACCCTGACTTATACAGGAACATGCTAGCAACATGTCAAGGCTAAATACTTAATTCTAAAATTCTAGGCCGAATAGCTCAATCTTATACCTGCATCTTACTATAATAACCTCAGATGTTCCAGCATCAATCTATTATTTAATATTGATATTATGCTTACAAAACTTTTTGATTATAGAAATGTGCCATAAAAGAATAGGGAAATAACTAAAGTAAGGGAACGATGCTTCCCTAACCTCATGTCAATTCCAGGCATGAAACAGCCAATTGCATTGAGCCAGGCTTAAAGTCTGCCAAGTGTCATAGTGGGGAAATTGAGTCAGGAGACTCCTACCTCAGCTCATGTAGAAAAGTCATTCTCTTTACCTTCCCATGAGAACACCCTCTGCAGTTCCTAGATGCAGCTCATGGACACCCCCACCCCCGCCACGGGGTTGCTGGCATCATAGGTCAGTAGCTCAATCAGTTCCTTGATGACCATACCTGGAATTAGACTCAGAATAATAGTCTATAATATCTTGGATAGCAAACTCCCATCATCAGGGTTTCAGATGTGACTAAAATCTCACATTAGTTAGGGAACATCTCTAAAGTAAGCCTTAAGTAGTTTGCCTGTATTCCTACACATGTTCTAGTTCCTGATTAAATGACATCATGAGTAAAATCAAATTTCCATTAAGATCTTAAGTTGCTATTCAAATAGATCTGCATTTCTGTTTCTCAAGCTTATTTATCCCTCTCTAACCATACTTAATCTGAAAGAATGAGGCACTTTCAGGAATTGAATCTTATGCATGTGAGAAGTTCAAACACTCATTCTAACCCTTGCTAGGCTATGGAATGAATTCAGATCAAAACAGCAAGATCTTCCCTACTTACAGCTCATTACAGACATTTAGATGCTTTAGTATTAATCACTAGCCTTAGATCTCTGATGCCGCTTCCATTGAGACTCTGTTCCTCTGGCCCATTTAAGGCCAGTCCCAGGACACAACAAATCTAGGAATAAAATTCGAAATTCACAGTAGGTTTGGACATAATTATCATCAATAATAAATTATCACTGCAACAAAATTAGCTTGCAAATGGAAATCTAGTAGGCTTTCTAAAACTCACAAAAAAGATTTTGCAAAACATTTCTTCGTAAAAGTATTTCCCTTTCTTAAAAACAGCTTACAATTTATCCTGTTACTATAACAAACTAAATTAATTACAGGATTTTACCAGTTCCTTTCTTTGCGCAATTAACAATAACTTCAAATAGCTTAGTTAGTAGTCTTAAATTTCATAAGTGAGAACCAAATAATTTCAGCTGAAACTTCCTTTTTAATATAGACAAAACTTGGAAGTTTATGATTTCTTAAATTACAGTACTTCAAAATATTACAATACATGATCAGATAGAATGACCTAACAGTTTCTTAACCTATTCATTTTCTTTTCCTCTGACAATACAATTCTTAATCTAATAACATCTAGATAATAAGAGAAATAGCTTTTCTAACGTAATAAGTGATACAATTGTTTGTCAAATTGCCCAATTTAGAAATGTAATAATATCTTACACATTATAATGTATTTAAGACTTGAAACAACCTGTTATCAATTTAGGTAAATGCATTTCTAAATCACTTTGCACAGATAATCATTCATCTCATCATTAATATGTTGAAGTTATAACCTGAAACCATCTTAAATATTTTCATAATAGTCAAGATTTCAAATGAAAAAGTGTGCTCTCATAATAAATATCATTATTATTATTATTACTTATTAATAACCAAATTATACTCATTAAATTTTAACAGTTTTCCAAAAAATTTTATCACATTTTTTTAAAAGGCCCAATTCATATGCAACAAAAATACAGATTAAAAGTTGTTTTTAACACCATTTCTACCTCACAATGGTCTCTCAAATTTTTACAGTCTAAGAGAATTTTAGAAATACAATACAATTTAGAAACACAAACAATAAGCTTCGGATGACACCATTTACATTTTCAGATTATCATAGACAGAAATTATTGATCTTATTACTTTTGGTACTTTAACAATTACATTAAAAAAGAGAGATAATAATGTCATGTCCAGCATATGTTAGTCATTTTACAATCATGTGATCCTTACAATATCCCTGGGAAGTGGGTTCTACTATTATCCCCTTACAGAACAGTAAACTGAGGTAAAAAGACTTAAATCAAATCTGGATTTATAATTGCTAATGATAAAAACATTTTTTTAAAGTCCAATTCTCTTGACCATTTAAAAGGAAATATTATCCATGAATTCATATATTCCCTTAAAAAGACATGTGGCTGCATATACTAGGAAATGTATATGAAGTTTTACAAACAGTTTGAAATCACCTGTTATCAGGTTAGCTAAAGGATTTGGCCCAGCCAAAAAGGAAACCTAAGGAATTTG